TATACATCGTATGAAAGATTAACATTGTTTAATGATCTCACGCTTATTTTAATTTAAGTGCGACTAATCATTTAATAAATCATTTCTTACTAGTTTATTGCTCTCTTAAGCTTCATTACTATTTATTATTGCACTGTATAATTTTTATTCAATGTAATCTGTGCAACGTAGATGGGATAAGAATGCTACACAAATAAATATACAATGAAAATTTATTTTGATATATGTATGCTTTTGTTGTTAATGTATTTTAAGAAAAATTTATTAAAATACATTAAAATCTTTTAAAAATTATATAAAAATTATATTTTTAAAAATTATAAAATTCACGTGTGGCTAATGATCAAAAACTAAATTACGATCGTGCAAATTTACTCACTCATTTTGATCGTTTGAATTTTACATTCGCAAAACATAACATAGAGAGCGTGAACCTATCACAAAACAAATCTATTCAACGATCTGATATAATGTATCACAAAGTGCACTCTATTTTAATTAATTACATTGCAGCACGATGTTTTGGAAATTTAAAGTAAATAATGATTTAGCTTGAAAATTTCGTTTTGTTAATTCGATTGACTTTAGAGTGCAAAATAGGTGTTGAAATATATTAGAGAGATAAAGTTTATTTTCCAAATACGAGGAGGGACAACGTGGTTAGTTTCGTTCGCGCATCACGCGTTAAAAAGCTAATCCCTAGCCACTGCACGTCCAAACTTTAATCACTTTTTGCAGTTCATTATTCCAAAAAAATGTGTACCTGTACACTACGTAGTAAAAAATTTCATTAAGTTGGGATATGACAGAACAGAGTAACTGCATTTCAAACATTCTTTATAGTAATATCGTATCTAAATTACTTTGCACAATTACTTTATAGTCCCTGGCCAAAAATTTAAAACCATTTATAATTTTCAACGTCCTTTGTGTCTCTAATAAAATTTGAAGATCTGAATGTAATTCCATAATCATTGTTATTAATTAATAAAATAAAAATTATTGTACGAATGTCCGAATTATATACAGAATATTTATATAGAATTATACATATACATATATATATATATATATAATTCGGATGTATATTAATATATATTCAAACATATTACATACATAAAAATATTCATATTCATTTTAATAATTTATAATTTCTGCTTTGATTACAACGTGTAACTTTTTCCCAGTATATTTCATAAGCACTGTCCTGTCGTCTTTTATTTTTAGATGATCTACAGTGACTTCCACTAAATATTGAAACGATATTCGAACACTACATATTGAAACTGTTATAATTTGTAAAAAAAAAATGTTATGTAATAACAAAGCTGTTGTAACCAAATTTTGAAGTCTGCAGCTTCTATATTTAAAATGCATCGTTTATTTTATTTTAAAATGGTTTTCAATTGAACAAGCGAAGATATTTTTCTTCTTGAAAATGCTATAAATTCTCACTCACGAACTCTCGAAAATTTGGCGCATGATTTTTTCTTGTCATTTTATTGAAATTTGTTACGTTTATATAATAAAAATCCAAGAAATCGTAACATTTTCATCGTTATTTTCGTTTTCGTTTGATATTCAAAGTTCAATAAATTAATGAAAAGTGTCGTACGGTAAGTTTTGAGAGATTGTTATAAAGTAATAGTTTCAATCTACAAATCCATTGTAGACTCAGTCGCGAAAAGAATTTTTCAATCTTTTCACACACTAAGAAAATTTTTAACATATTAGAGAAGAACTGTTTTGAAAGCAGAGGAGAAGATGCGTTTTGAAAGCATATTTCTATTAAGTCCAAATTTATCATTGTACGATTTCTTTTTTATAAAATTATGACAGTTTTAGTATTTAATATTCGAATATTAACGAGATTCACTGTAGTCTAAACAATGTATTTATTAAATTGATAATTACTTGAAACTTACACTCACATATAAAAATCTTAGAACAAATACTACATTTAGAATACTACAAAATTGGAAGAATTAAAAAATTATATTATTTACCAGTACTATTAAATTAAATATTACTTTATACAAGAAAGAGTCTGCCAAGTGTTAATATATTAACAAATGTATCACATGCAGTTAAAGAATTTCATTATCTATTAATTATAAAAAGTGTTCTAAGATTTTTGAGCAAGAATATAATTTTCGAATGTTATTAGTTTAGAATTAACGAATACAATATTCATCTATATTGAATATTGAAACACAATAACAACAAGGAAACTAATTTCTTTATTTTTCGAAACTAATTTCTTTATTTTTCGAATCTTTCAAAAAATGTAAAAAAATTTTGGATTACTCAACGAAGCTTTTTCTACATTATAAAATCGGTTTTTAAATCAAACCTTTAAAAGGTTTATTCCTTTAAAGGTAAATCAAACATTTAAAAATTTGTTTCAAAAAATTTACGAGTAAAATTTCACTGCCCACGATAACGACCCAATTTGAAGTGTTAAAAATAAAAAGGTGTCCTAAAATTTTTGAACGAGAATATACACTCTAGTAGCAAAAACATTCATTCGGCCCTCAATTGCTCGTTAGAAATAGTAATTGTATCATGTAGAACCACAGTAACTCAATAGTAAAAAATAATGTATTATTAATACGTGCATATGTGTGAAATACAATAATAATTGACAAAATTACTAATTAAATTATTAATCTCGCGTAATTCAATTCTTTAAAATTTATTAAGATGTGAAAGATGTTGAAAATTGTGACTGACTTTAATTTTTTGCAATACTGAATTATATAATACCTATATACAGAGTGAATGTTATTATCAATACAGTGCAAACATATTATCAATGCTACTGTCGTTATTTTCAGATTTTATTTTGATATTGTTCGTACATTTCCGTAAACAAATTTGCCACAGGACCAATTTCATTATGCTTCGTGAACATGTAAACGGATGAAGATTTTTAATAATGACAAACGGGATTTACATTTTATCACATATAGTACGTGAAACTGTTGTTTTAATCCACTATGGAAACGCGCAGATGTATAATTAAAATTAATTATCGTGAATAACGCACTGCATGATTTCAAGTGTATTAATTGTAATAACATAATGTATTTATAGTGTTAAATTGGGAAAGTTTTATCGTTTCTCATTCATTTTTTTTTTTCTTTTGTATCTATGATATATGCCGATAAATAAAAGTAGTCCAAATCAGAAATGTGAAAAAATGAATTTATATGTAGATATTTTGTTTTTAAATGTATTTAAATTATAATATTGTTAGTTTAGAAAAATAACAGAAAATTCAATTATCAGATAGGATCGGTAGAGGAAACAAAACAAACAAAACACGTTTATTTTGATAAAGACCCAAGTCACATTTTTTTATTTCCTCTGAAAACAAATCTGATTTGATTCTTGAAGAAATTACTTTTCATTATAATAATAATATTAGTATGTATGTTTGAAATAGCATAAGTTTGAAAAAGCACACTAAAGTAATATAACAAAAATATATAATGGCTCACAGTGACGTTTTTTTCATTTTTTAAACTTGAGCTTAATGTCGCATCAACTGCTAGATTATTAATGGCAACTTGATGTGAAGTTATCAGAGAGAAATCATTGTTATAATGGGGTGGTAAATTAATTTGGGTTTCTTATTCATTTGTAATCTAATAGGTTTTGAATTCTTGACACTTAAATTATCTTAAGTGATAATTCCAATTTGTATTGGGAAATTGTATTTGGAATTTTATTATGGAAAGTGCAGTGTAAAAGTAAATATTCTATTGCAACGTTGCACACATCACACCAGAGAGAAGTTGGATCCTTTGATAGAATCGTAAGAGTGAATATCTTTATCTTCTGGTTCTTTGTACCGTTTTTGGTATAGTGATACTTGTTCTAACCAGAATCGTAATATTAAAGTAGCACTGATATGGATTGCATTGAAAGATTGTTCAGTCTGAAGAGAGCAGTATTGAAACAATAGACTACAAATTTTTGATGTCTGACTTCCTTTCTACCAAATGACCAATTTTGATTTGATAGAACTGAATATAAAGGAAACGGATTACTTGTACATATCCAAACATTACTATAAATTAATAGAACGGTTTCGTAAAAGGAGAAACCATTTTCTGTAGAATGAATGGTGCACAAAGATTTCTTTCTATCAACTGAGGGAATCAACAATAAGCAGAATAAACTGTACCAAGGGAAAATTTGTCCATTAGTTACAAATATAATGGATGAGATTTTAAAAACTACCCCATATAAAGCTCCATATAGAATGTTTTATAAGATAGATGATCTATTTAATATCTAATCTAGTAGTGCTGTTAAATCCGAAGTTTTCAATTTTTCCCTCAAAAAAGGAAGGCTAAATATTCAATTACTATATGCTATTCAGGCCAGCAACAAAGAAAAGATATGATGACATGATGGATTTACCGTCTTACATTCCACCAATTTCATCACAAATATATTAAAGTATTGAAAATTCTATTTAAGTTAATTAAAATTACAAATATAAATGATTATAAGTCAAAATTCTATTTATGATTATAATGATGATTACAAGATTAAAATTCTATTTGAATTAATTAAAATTACAATTATAAAATGCAAATGATTATAAGTCGTTTCTTAATTATTCAATTAATATTAAAAGTAGTTTGAAAAAAACAATTACTTATAAGATACAAATAAAATTTTACAATCAAAGGAAATATTTACATTGTAGGAGCAAATATTTGATTATATACTTTATGTGTTACTGTACTAATATTATTAGTACTAGTAATATTTTTACTTTTATTAGTACTCTTAATATTTTTATATTTTTTCATATATTGTGTTGATGTATCAAAATCTCGAAACAAAAAATGTATGATCACTTTCATAATCACCGGTACATATCTGATTTAACATTTTTCTGGACCAAATGGTCGTCGTGATATTGTTATTTAACATTAGAGAACATAAAGAAAACCTAATGAATTGAAAAAAGTTCGACGTACCTTTTCGAAGATGGGCGTACGGGTCGCCGACGTTATTCTCATGATAGATGACCGAATGTAACGTGTCATTTATCTCGTGCGGCGGGAAGTAATAGTGCGCCTTCTCCACGTACCACGCGCCACCGCGAGGCGAAATGATTTTTCCGTGGAAAACACCATCGCTGATGCTTCCAAATACGTGACTGCCAGGTTCACCTACAAATAACAATGGCTCCATTTAATGATGATTGCCAACTAGAAATATTTCAGACAAATTTTCCACGAATATAATACGCTATCTGAAGCTTCCACAGTTCATTTTTCTTTTTTTTTTTTTTTTTTTGAGCAGTAACAGCGATAAAAAATGTTTTCATTTTTATTTTTTATTGCACACTATCGATCTGTTGACGCTCTGCTCTTTGATTCAATGAAATTATTTAATTATTTAGATGTATGTATTCGCATAGATTATGGAACGACGAAATTCGATTCACACTATGGATTCGCTCACACTCCGCTTTTGGTTCGATCAAATATTATTCAATTGTTCATAATGTATGTACAAACATCATCGGTAATCAGAGTTGGGCATTAACCGATTAAAATTTTTAGCTTAATTAACTGATTGATGTTTGTGACTAATAAAGTTAATCGTCGAAAAATCGATTGATTTAATTGATCAATAGCGTTATCCATCAATTATCAATTGTTATTTATTACATTGAATTGATTATAATTATAATCTCAATTTTAAATTGAAGGTGCACTTCGAAATTATAATAAACCACCGTCATCACTTTAGGGTTAAAATATTTAATCAAAATAAAACGTATTCCTAATTTATATTATATCATCGAGAGGAGTATAGAACGACTACGTATGTCAAGTTGTAAAATTAAGTAACTTATTTAAAATTTCTTCAAATCTTAAATAAATTTATAACTTATTTTTAATAAATTGTTTATTAAATAAACGAGCAATAATAAAAGACTTTATTTCGTTGCATTTAGACATTAATGTCTGATAATATTAGTATTATTTCACTTTTCACGAACTTACGAAAGCCTCATCATTTTTCTATATATTATTTCAAGGTGTCTCGATCTCTAACTGCGAACAAAAAGACATGTAAAAACTAATTTCACTACAAAAAGAATTTCAGCAATTGATCGTTAATAAGGCTATCCATGATTGCAATTAAAAGGAACTCAATCGTTAATAAGAATTTAATCATTACTCGTAATTAACAATTAGAGATGTTTAATCGTTTATTGCAACTAAAAGGTACGAATTTAATCGTCATTTATGATCAACAACTGAAGTTGGAATGTAATCGTTGATTGCAATTGAAGATTATTGGAAAAATCTCATCGTTAATCGGTAATTTTATTTTTTTTACACAACTCGGTTAGGTAACGTCTCAATTTCGATTCGACCGTGGTCTAGCAAGTATTCTTGCAAGATTTTTATTACATCGAGACTGAGATTGTCTGTTGTAGAATCGAATAGATAGTTTGATTTTTCTTTTTTTCAGCGCAACATATTCGTTTTCTCTTTATGATGAAAACTATTGTTAACGGTCATTGACAAATTTTGTTGCAGTGTGTTGCAATATTATAGTGAAAATGAAAACTAAATTGCTCTTCTATTCTATCTTGATGTTTTCCCATAGAAAACATATTTTGAAATAAATTGAAAAATATTCGGAAAAATCTGTATAAAACCGAGGTTCCAATTATTTTGGTTATTGATTAAACATGTTTAAATGTATATACAAGACGTCCTCATGGTACAACCGAGGTAAGAAGAGATTCTACGTAAAAAAACAAGTTGAAAAGAAAGAATGAAATTTTTTCAGTCTTTGTTTCCAAGAAAATCGATTCAGTTACTTGAAAATTTTTTGAGCTACTTGAATTCTAGACGTGACGGAGAATAATTAACAGGAGGTTCTACATGTAGAATAAAATTTTTTGCTTTGTTTTCGAGAGAATCAAGCTTGAGAATTTATCAGATGCACATTTTCATTCAAAAATAATTTGTCATCGTCATTCACTAAATGGGAATATAATGTGAAATACCTTTTTCAGTTTATTATTTTTATTTCCAGTCTATCAAACTGGGCTAAAGCTACATTGATCAAATTACGTTGAAAACAACACAATCGAAAAGCAAAACACGAGGATCATAGAAAAAAATATATATCACGTACATGTTAAATTTTTAATTGACATCCTTTCAAATTCGATTGAAATAGAAAATTTATTTTATAAATTATTAAACTTTCTTAAAAAATAAAGAATCATATCTGATTATTATTGTTCGTGTTTTTCATCATATAGTGGAATAAATATTTCTAGGAAAAATATTATTTAACAATCGCTGACATTACGTTACTGATTGTCGGCAAATTTAAAATAGTTTTTTCTAGAATCAAAAGACACACACGTGGACAAAAGTATTCGAACAGTAAGGGAATAATAAAAGATTTTGTTGTAAGATTCATTTGTTAACATGACATAACATTTACTACAATAAATTCATTCTTTCATAAGATGTAACAAGATTTTTGAATATTTTTTCACTGCTGATTTGGCCGATGAAAAGAAATTATGTTACTTTCTCATTCATTTGACACTGTGCTGCTGCTTATTATGAATTCTATCTCAACTATTACTGTGAACAAACACATATTGACAAGGTAAGTAACTAATTACTTTGAATTGGATTGTTCCTTCAATTAACAAAATAATATTTAATTTTTTCAAAATTAGATTACTGCTTCTCCTGAAAAATATACTCTTCTCGAGGATTCTGCTGCTTTTGTCGCAAGGGAGCGATATATATATTTCTTTCTTTCAGCCCGCGATAAATATGTAGACGTAACCAGGTGGCTTGGATCGCAAGCACGAAAATGAAAGATAAACCATTCCAACAAGCGAACCAATCCATAATTTAAAATGTCCCCCTTTGTGCCAACTCCCGTAAATTATTAGACTGGAAATAAAGGTTTCACCCAGTATGTACACGCACTTTTGCGTGCCACACCTGGTATCACGGCTGGCTTAAGAACTCGGACTATGTTGCATAAAACGTCCAAGATAACGCAGACGTAAGAAGAAAGCAGCTAGTAATTTATACTGTATACGGAGATCGTGATTTATGATTAAATCACTTTTCGCGTCGCAGTGTAGTTTATAATTACTCACTAAGTGTTTGTTTTTTTCTTTCATATGCACTATATATGTTTAATATTAAATGTCTAACAATTGCACCCTTTGATCTCAAAGGCACGTCTTCGTAAATTTCACGATCAGAATCTTTTCACTGAAAACTTTCTCTGTTCCAACATCGATACATTATAAATAAAAAAAAAAAAAAGTATAAACATATAAAATATTCTATCTTGGAAAGAGGATAACGCTGTTCGAGAATCCGCCATAAGTATATATTCATGAAATTTCCAAAAGGACGAGTTCTAAACTAGCTGAATGCCGGAGGAAGATATTTTTAATTCAGGTTGCAACATCGATAAAAACGATTCTACGAAGAAGATAAGTATAAACTGGTGAAAAGAAATTTCATTTTCTATTTATAATTTTCCCTGCCGTCTCTCCCCCTGTTGCTAAAAGGGATCTTCGAAAATTATTCGCGCCGAATCGACGCAAATCAGATCGTAGAAGCACGTAAGCGAAAGAAGAACGATCAAAGGTAGAACTTACCAACTAAGTGGCCCTGGTAAATATGTGAGGTATCGAGGTCCTCCGTTTGACCGGAAGGGCCCTCGATAATTAAGTTATTGCTAAAGGTAGCCAGATCTCGCTTCAGTCGGATGTGGAAGTCCCTTCCGTGCGAACGAAACTTCAGAGTCACAGAATTGTCGCGGGTAACCGACCTCTTGGCCCTCAAGTGACCTCGGTGGACCTCTTCAGTTGGGTAAGAGAGAGGTTCGTAGTGGCGAATATATTCGTTCAATCGACGAGCTGCAACAGAAAAGTGAACAGACAATGCTTTAGATTCTTTCGATCTCTAACGATACGTTTCGAGAGCATTTTTTACTTTTTGTGGCGGGGAAAAATTATATGAAGAGAAAATTAGATCTTATGAAATAGATATGAAAATATCTAGATAATGAATTAAGAATTAGATAACGAAATATTCGTCATAGATTTTAAGGCCGTTTGAGAATAACTGATTTATTTTCTCCCAGTCAGTTCGCACTCCTGAATAGCGCGCAATTTTCTTCCAAATTCGCACTTTCTACTTTCTCACCAATTTCGTAAATGAAAATGAAAGCAACATGTGCGTTGCGAGGTGGAATGAGACAAACAATGCGACGTCGAACCGCTTTGGGAATTTTTGTTGAAGTTGTCACGCGGATCCACGGTTCCGTTAATCGTCAAAACAGTTTGAAATTTTTGAAAAAAATCGATTTTTTTGTTTTGTTTTAAATAGTAGTTTGAAGTTTTAGAAATAAGATACAAAAGGTCCTAGCTTTTAAAATGATTTATTTTGGGGTACAATAATATATCGGCGGATGCAGAATAATTGAAATTGCATCACTGTTTACAACTTTAAACAGTATTATAAAGTGCAAATCGTATGATTCAAATATTACTTTTGGTGAATCGAATATTAGGGGACTTGGATTCAATTTAGTTGTGAATTGTAAGAACTGTGAGCCGCGATATATACATATAAGTAAAAAAAGTAAGTAAAGGATACATATGAAAAATGAACGTTCTGAAATTTTTCGCGTTTTTCTCGAAACTAGGTTTTTAGAAACGGTGTGCAAGATATCTCGGAATCTAACCAACCTATTACCGTGAAACTTGGTACGTATCTTTAGCGTAACATTTACTAGGGATTGACGATCGAACATTTCTTAATTTTTAACAATTTCGAAAAATATAAACAAAAAAACGTAGAAATTTTTGGCACAAATTCGATACAAATTTAAAAAACAAATAGCTGCTATTTTCATAATTTTCACAAAAATGAAAATGTTGGATCGTCAATCCCTAGAGAATATCGTTTACTTTTAAACTTTCTTCGCCTTTTTGTTGCAGCTAATCCTGTTTGGCTGGAATCATGCACACCGATAGGCAATGTAAAAGGATGCCGTTAAAAAGTTAAATAAGAGTTCTCTTTTTTTTTTTTAATGTTGCTTTTTATAATACATAATGTCTTAAACCACAAAAGCTCGTGTCAATCAAATATGTACTTCTTTTTTTACTAGCTCTCCAAAGTATTCGTAATTTTTAGGCCCGTCAAACTGTCCTGCCCCCTCAACGAGACAAAGTGTCCCACAGTGGTTGGCAATGGTCTTCCTTCAGTTTGATACGGCTCGTAATTTTCAAGAATGAATTTATGTTAGATAGGTTTTCTTTGTGAGGTTCCGGTGCGGCCGTGCACGACGCGACGAAAGGAAGCGGCATTTATGCATCGTTCTTCCGATTTATGTCCCCAAGGGGACCCGCGTGTATGTAACTTGCTTCTTATCGATGCTTGACAATTTTGAATCGCTAACACTCGCCGCTATTACTGCCATAGTATTCTTCCAAGGCATATGACATATTTTTAGATAATATATAGCAATAATAACAAAAATAATATCGTTAAACACGTTCAACAAACATATGTACAGGATGTTTCCGATCCTGCGATACAGTTGAAAAAGTTATTCTACATAAAAAAAAAAAAATAAATAAATAAATCGAAAAGAAAGGCTAAAATTTTTTCACTTAAACCTTCGTGTTCGAGAAAATTGAATTTGAAAATTTATTAACTACACTTAAATTTGGCTAATTCTAAATTAGACAAGAGTGAATAATCGCTAGAAGAGTATTCCATCTGCGAAAATGGATGTACATATATGAATAAAATTTTTCCATTTATTAAGATCTCGCTTTAAAGAAAGCAGACTTTATTTAGTTTAGTAGACGTGTATCTGAAATTGAATTTTCTTAAAAACGAAGGGTATTTATATACATATAATATATGCGTATTATAATTCAGGATATCGCTCTTCAAGTTTCTTCTAATTTCATACGTCTATCCTTGATTTTGGATATGTTTTTCTCATGCTTCTGTCCAATTTCTTCCACAATTTTTTAATTGGTCTCTGGTCTGGTAATTACAAAACCGTACTATCATACTAGTATTATGTTAATCCATAATATTTATTTAAATTACATACAGAATAATCAGTTTTGATCTATAAATGCAAATTACTCGTAAACTAATTCAGGTAAGAGATGAATATTTCGTGGAGGGAAGTTTACAATCTGATGCAAATAGTAGAACGCAGAAAGATCACAACGAAGGTCATCTTCATATTTTTAAACGAATGTAAAAATAATTTTTTAAATTATTCTTAAATTTAATTAAATTATTTATTTAATTATTTAATTATTTAAATGTTTAAATTTATTTCTTTGATCCATTAATTAATGCAATCCGACATTTCGTATAAAAGAAATATTAACATCTATGTATTTCAAAAAACCATTAGTTTAGGAGATATTTCAATCTCAATTGTAACTTTAATTTTAAAATCTATAAATGAAAAACCATTATGAACATAAGAATACTGTTCTTGTCTTTTTTTTCGTCTTTCATACAAAGAAGGTTAAAATATCTCCTAAACTGATAATTTTTCGACATACTTAAATTAATACCTTTTGTAGATTGCTGTCAATATCAAGCTACATCGATTAATGAATCAAAAAATATATCGATCCATTTAATCGTTTGAGTGTAAATGATCGCGATCGCGTTTGTCTGTCATACTTAAAATGCAGAAAGCATTTAAACGGTTAAAAAAATGGAGGTGATCTTTACATAATATCTAAGCGTTGATCTACAAGAAAACTATTTACATCAGATTGTAATTCATCCGAAATCATCCATTTCTTACATGAACTATTTTTTTGTATGACACATATTATAGTTTACGATTGAAACTAGTCACCTTACATATATATGTATATTATTGCCTTATTAAATTATAAATTTATACATTATAAAATTATTAAAAAATTTATAATTAAATTATAAATTTGTGCATACTTAAATTTAAATTATATATAAATTTATAATTATTATACATGTTATTAATATGGTACATTATACTTATAATATGGTATATATATATAAACTATATTTTATTATTAATATAATTTACAATTAAAACCAACTTACATATATACGTATATGATCGCCTTATTAGAAATTTATACAACATAAAATTACTAAAAAATTTATAATTAAATTTTTAATTTAATAAAGCGATAATATACGTATATATAAATAACATTAATATGATATATATATATACATTTATATAAACTATATTATATTATTAATATAGTTTACGATTAAAACTAGTTATCTTACATATATATATATATATATCAATATCCATTTTTTCAGGACTTGAATGCAGATGAGTTTTTAAAATATTAATATACATCTTGTGATCCATTGTTCCGTCAATCAAATGCAATTCACTCACACCTGCGGCACTCGTGCAGCCCCAAACATATTGAACCACCACCATGTGTTATTATCGGCTGTAAGTTCTTAGGTTTATACTCTACATTTTTTTTTCTCCACACTGTGAAGTGTCCACCGGAGCCAAAAATATTAAATTTGCTCTCAACCGTGAAGATGACCCTATTCCAAAACTCCATCGGTGTTTTTACGTAACTTTTTGCGAACTCCAATCTCTTCTTTCTATTCCTTTCATTCACATAATATTTGTGAATGCATATAACACGCCAGCACATTTAAAAAACACCCCCGAAATCACCAGATATTAACCTTATTGAACATTTGTGGATTTATCTGGAACGATCAATTCGAAAACATACAATTTCATCAAACAGACTTAAAAAATGCTTTAATCAACGAATGAAATAATATCACTATTAAAATCACATCTAATTTGGTTAATTCAATACCTGGAAGGCTAGCTGCAATAATAAAATCAAAAGGAAACCCTACTAAATGCTAAATTATTAATTTATGAATATTAATTTTATAATTATTTGTTTTTCTATTATAAATGTTTAAATTACTTGTTCACTTGATAGTGACAATAGAACTATACGAATACTTATTTCATTTCTGTCATTCTGTTCATTTTTCTTGATATTTATATAAACAATATGAATTTTTTTTTTGTTGATATTGTTCTACAGACTTTGGGGAATAGATGTATCATGTTTGTTTAAAAAATATTGTTTAATAAATATTATTATTCAACTATATTTATATGTATATATATATATATACACATAGTGTATATAAGTAAAAGTATGTATATATATATATATATACACAAGTAAATGTATATATATATATATATATATATATATACACACACAAGTAAAAAATATTCGTACAGTGACTAATTACGACTAAAATGCTGAATAATAATATTTATTAAACAATATTTTTTAAACAAATATTTATTAACAATATTTTTTAAACAAACATGGTACATCTATTCCCCAAAGTCTGTAGAACAATATCAAATAAACAAAAAAAAATTCATATACATATGTAAGGTAACCTGTTTTAATCGTAAACTATACTAATAATATAATATAGTTTACATATATACCATATTAATACCATATTAATTCGTATAAGTATAATATAATATACTATATTAATTCGTATCAATATTTTAATATCTAATCATTTTGTTCAAAAACGAGCGATGTCCGTTGACTTGTGGACGAAAATGAGACGTTGCTTTTCCCCGGAACAAGACAAAAGAGGACAGGAAAAAGAAAATATCTCAGGATTAATCCAGAAAAGGTTTGGAAAGTCAGCGCAAGTCACGAGAGTATAACGACATTTTCGTTTATCATCGTTTTCTTCCGAGTTACTCGCGTTCCACAATGTGTACACTCGCGTAAGACGAGAAATCGGGAAGAAAACGGTCCAAGTCCGATAACCAATCATCGTTTCGAAATCGAGGACTCGATAAAGTTGGGCACAACAACGCGAGAATTCTCTTCTCACGGGCGTGTTAACGTGAGATACGCGTTAAAAACTCTGGGCAGCCGACAGCTTTACTTCGAATTTCACGGAAAATTACGTTTTACAACTACGTCTTTCTGCAGGAAACTTGGATACTCGCTAATATGAAAAGGAGCTAACACATTTCACATTAAATCGTATAAATCCCGCAATGGTTCGCTGCGGGCGCTGGATTTAAACTTTAATCCGAATGACAGAGGGAGTGCGTCGTGTATGCCTATGACAACAGAGGTGGAAAAAAAGGCAGGAGCAATATGCTGAAAGCACAGAGAAGGACGATGACAGTAGAACGATGGGATTGAGAAACGTGAAATGGTCGTCGCGACTTTCAATTTTCCGGCGAACACTTCTTTCCCTGAGAACAGCAGCTCGATGACCAAAAAAAAAAAAAAAAAAATCGTAATGACGTCGAAGATTCATAATCCGTGCTTTTATAAAAAAAATATAATTGTAAGAAAGATATATCTACTAGAATATAAGTTGCTCGAATTGCACGTTCTAAAGCATGCATGTCAAATTCGAAAAAATTTCGAATCAATCGACCGATTAATTTTTGATTAATCAATATTATTTTGATATTTATTACTGACTTTCATGGATCCAAATAAACGAACATCGTCGAAAATAGGTACTGAGAAATTTAATTTTGTCCTGATGCCACATTTTCGTGAAATAGTATGGGAGCTTTTAACCCCTTGGCGCTGGCAACTGATTGCGGACCATAACGAGTGACCAAACCGTATACAATAATTCGTCGCTTTCTTTTTGGACTCGTCGGTATGACTACAGACAGAAATCATTAAGAAGTAAACTTATTACCTGTTTTGCCTGGGTTATATTTAAGTATACTTAAAACTAGGAAAATATTGCAATTTTGGGGCAAAAAATTCTCGTTATTCCAGCGCAAGAGGTTAAATTGTAAGGACAATGGTATAAATTTTTGAACTCGGTGTCAACAAATTTTTTATAGGACATATTTCAAGGACTCCAGAATGCATAATGCAGAAATTCAACAAAACGACGGAAAAGAATTATACATCAAGTTGTCGGGATTGTTGTAAAGGAATTCAATCTTCAAATCTATCCATAGTAGATTTAGTTTCCTATAGTATGTTTTTATATATTATGACAATTCATAACATTTTCGAGGGGAAAATTGTTTTCACGTACCCTACAAAAACGGTCTAGAATAAAATAAATAACGTATTTCGAAAGGCAGAGGCTTTAAAATGAGTTCGAGATTATTCAAAACAGATTCAGTACTTAGTGTTCGCATATCACTGGGATTCACTGGATGTGTTTAAAGGAGATCGTAGAATATAGAAGCATCAACGGATTGTCAGTTGTTGCTCCTGCGTTGCAACAAATTTTATGGTTTTCTAGGTAGGATAAACACCAATCCACAGAACTGGATTGTTTTCTGAATCATTATTTCATCATTATCCGAGGAATATTCCCAAATTCACTATAAACATCTTTATCTTCAGAATAAATAATTATGTATTTTGGATTCCTTAAAACG